TCCTCCTCCTCCACTATCTCCTCCTGTTACTCCTCCTCCACCTCCTCCTCCTCCTCCACCACCTCCTCCTGTTTCTCCTCCTCCTCCAACTCCTCCACCTCCTCCTCCTCCACCTCCTCCACCACCTCCTCCTGTTACTCCTCCTCCTCCTCCTCCTCCTCCACCTCCTCCACCACCTCCTCCTCCTCTACCTCCTCCTCCTCCTTCTCCATCTCCTCCACCACCTCCTCCTGTTCCTCCTCCTCCTACTCCACCTCCTCCACCACCTCCTCCTCCTCTACCTCCTCCTCCTCCTCCTTCTCCATCTCCTCCACCACCTCCTCCTGTTCCTTCTCCTCCTACTCCACCTCCTCCTCCACTACCTCCTCCTGTTACTCCTCCTCCACCTTCCACCTCCTCCTCCTCCACCTCCTCCTCCTCCACCTCCTCCTCCTCTTTTCCTTCCTTTTCCTCCTCGTCCTTCTTTCCTCCTCCTCCTTTCCTCCTCCTCCTCGGATTACAGGCATGAGCTATGATGCCTGGCTGTTCCACCTCCTCCTCCTCTCTTCCTCCTTGTCCTCTGGCTGTTTTTCTTTTTCTCCTCCTCCTGCTCCTCCACCCCCCCCCTTACCTCTTTCCTTTCTTCTTCATTTTTATTTTTTCTTTCTTTTTACCCAACAAAGCTGACCAGAACAAGATATTATTTTCTTTTATTTTTTATTACAAAGTCTTGGTCTTGTCACCCAGGTTTAAATGCAATGGAGCAATTCCGGCTTATACTCCTGTGCACCCCGACTCATTTCTATATGGTCTGCTGCAGCAAGACGTCAGCAGCTGTCTTCATCTGAGTCCATTTCCCAGGGTGGTGTTGCCCAGAAGACACAGAAGGAGATCCTTCCAGGTTCTGCCAGCACAGATTGGCAGACAGAAAGTACTGGCCGAACCCTCATCCTCACATGCACCCCGACTCATTTCTCTGTGCTCTGCTGCAGCAAGATGTCAGCAGCTGTCTTCATCTGGGGGTGGTGTTGCCTGGAAGACGCAGAAGGAGTTCCTCCCAGATTCTGCCAGCACAAATTGGCAGACAGGAAGATTGGCCTAACCCTAATCCTTGTGTGCACACCGACTCAGTTCTCTGTGCTCGGCTGTGGCAAGATGTCAACAGCCGTCTTTATTTTGATACATTTCCCAGAATGTTGCCCCAGAGGCAGTAGAGGCTCCTCCCAGATTTAAGAAGCAAAAGTGGCCACAGCGATTATTCCCCCCTGCACCATTTTCTCATCCTGGCATTGTCAGTCTGCAACCCGAAGGTACTGTGGAAGCTCAGTTACTCACTCTTGCAAGCGTAAGGATTCCAGATTCTTCAGTGTCCCACACTGCAGACAACTCTAAAATTGCTGCACTTTATTCTTTATTTCATGTGTTCAAATTGAAATGTATCAGGTCAATCACTAGTGCTACAAATGCAGAAGTAAAGATGTATTTCCACTTCCAGTTTAGTTCACTTTTAATAGTAGAGAATATGGTTTAAAAAAAAAAAAAAAAAGGAATAGCACAAAAAAAATAATGAACATCTCAATGCAAAGATTAGATATTTAGCTGATGATTAGACAGTAGCTAAAATTGAACTCTTCCTGAGATAGTGTGGCTGCATTTTTAAACAAATGGACATCATGTGAAACTTATAAATTGACCTAAAAATTGTAGTACAGAAAGTTCCCATAGGCCCTCCCCCCTCAGTATCCTTCTTGTGACCACAGCTTACATGAATGTGGTGCATTTGTTACAGTAGCTGAACCAATAGTGATATCTTCCTATTAATGAAAGTCTGGAGTTCGCATTAAGGCTCACCCTGTGCTGTTCAGCCTATGGATTTTGACAAACTCATGTCATTCATCACCCAGACAGAAGGGTTTCGTCCCCAAAACATGACCTGTGCTGCACCTCTTAATCCCTTTCTTCTTTTCTCAGGACCCCTGACTGCTATAGATGATTTATTTTCCTGCCTCTATACATTTTCTTTCCCAGAATTCTGTAGAATTGGTATCATAAAGTATGCAGCCACTTAGGACTAACCGATTTCACTTTGCAATATACATGAAAGATTTTTCCTATCTTTTAATAGCTTAATGGCTTACTCATTTTTATCAGTGGGTCATACTCCGTTGGGTCCATGTAACGGTGTGGGTTGGTGCACTCATCACCTGAAGAGCATCTCAGCTGCTTCCAGTTCAGGCAACTATGAATACATGTGCCCTCATTCTTGTGTGGATTTTCTAATGGGCATAATTTTAAAATTTAACTGGGTAAATGTTTAGGATTTTAATCAGTTGTTTATATAGTATGACTATGTTTTCCTTTGTAAGAATTAGAATTCAGTAAAGTCACCAGGGTATTTTTTTTTAAGTTTTTATTGATTCAACTTCTATATTATAATAGATGTAAGCCTACTCAGATTATCTGAGTCTCCTTTGGGTAGTTATGATATAGTTTCTGCCTTTGGAGGAATTTGTCATTTTCATCTAAGCTGTCAAATTTGTGAGCATAGATTTATTCTAAGTATTCTTTATAACGTGCTTGATATTAATGGGATCAGCAGGAATCATTCCTTTTTTTATTTATATTATTTGTAAATTGTGTCTTCTAGCTTTTCCTTGTGGTGAGCCTGGTGGAAGATTATCAGTTCTATTTATTTTTCCTATGAAGCAGCTCTTGGTTTTGTTTAGTTCTGGTTTATTATTTCTATTATTATGATTTCTGCGAATTTTTTTTTTCTATTTTTATGTCTATAGTTTTTCTCTAGTTTCCTAAGGTGGAAGGTAAGCAAACTGAATTGAGATTGGTTTTAGTTTTTTTTTTCTTTCTTGCTTTTCTTGTTTCCTGTTTCTTTTCTTTTAAGACTGAGTCTTGCTCTGTCTCCAAGGTTGGAGTGCAGTGGCATGATGTCAGCTCAATGCAACCTCCGCCTCCCAGGTTCAAGTGATTCTCCTGTCTCATCCTCCCGAGAAGCTGGGATTGCAGGTGACTGCAACATGGCCTGGCTAATTTTTGTATTTTTAGTAGAGATGGGTTTTCACCATGTTGGTCAGGCTTGTCTTAAACTCCTGACCTCAGGTGATTCACCCACCTCGGCCTCCCAAAGTGCTGGGAAAACAGACATGAGCCAACATGCCCAGCCTGTTTTTAGTTTTCTACACAGCATTGTGAACTAATGCCACTAAAGTGTGCATTTAACAATTAATATATATTGTGTATTTTTCACCACAATGATTTAGATGATAAGTGCAAAAGGAGCATATATAGATTCAGGAACGTCAAACATTGTAACTTTTTTTCTAAAGAATATACTTACCAGGCCTTTTTCTGTGAGGATCCTGTCCTGGAGTCATGCGGTGCACTTGTGTGCTGCCTAGGTGAACACTGCCTACTTCACAGTGATCAGGGTGGCTTAGCCAGAGACCCGAGGTTCTGTCCCCCAGGGCTCTCCTGATGGTGTCCTTTGCCTTCCTTCACCACCAAGGAGGGTAGCTCAGCAGCAGCTCAGCCCCTGCTCTTACTCCACCTCCTCTGCACACGCAAGCCCTGTGTCCTCAGTACCGAGGGCTGCCAGAGGGCCTTCAGCAGCTCCCATGGCTGACAGTGACTCTGTGTTTCCTAGATTATCCAATAAATTGGAAGGAGTTTGCTCATCCAAATTCCTGGCAACTTACTAAGGCTGATCACTCCTTAAGTAAGTCTTCTTTCTTTGTCTGAGACTCTGTGTTTCCTAGATTATCCAACAAATTGGAAGGAGTTCGCTCATCCAAATTCCTGGCAACTTACTAAGGCTGATCACTTCTTAAGTAAGTCTTCTTTCTTTGTCTGAGATGGGAATTTTTTTCTTTTTCTTTCTTTTGAATTAAGATATACAAATCTTACCATAAACATTATAGATGAGTCACAGAATTTCCTGGTGGGCAAAGGTGTGTGAGTGTCCATTACCAACTTGAAACTTGTTCCAGATGGCACCAGAGAGGACAGCTTCACTGACAAACTGCATGGCAGAGAGCAATTTTTTCAGGAGAAATGCATTCTTCTGGAATATAGCTGTGACTTTGCAACAAAATTATTTGGCAAATCTTATGCAAAACTCTGTGCCTTTCCACAAGTGTCCTCTAGGCTTTATTTGGGGGCCATTACCTTGACAACTATTTCCCAACTGGTTTTCTAATGTCACCAAGTGAAGAAAAGACCCATGCACATCCGCACCCTGTCTCCTCTCATGATGTAGGCCTTGCCTTCCATTCCAGCTGCTGCTCTCTGAACTGCCATTTCACACTGTACTGGCCAGGAGACTACTGGTGAAGACGGGAGGCAGCCTTTGCTCCTGCCTTGAAGGTATGCTCATTTCCATCTTCTCACCGCAGTTTCTTCACATGGGCCACTTGTGCATAAAATGTCTTTCTGATTTTATTTTCCCAACTCCAGTTTACATACAGATGTACACATTTTAGAGCTTTATGACTCCATTTGTATTCTCGATTTTTCTATCAAGATTTTTGCCTTAAATATTTCCCTCTATGTTCTGTTTCCCGTGCCAATTTTATGCACACTTTTCCATAGGAAGGAACACGACAACCCTGCTGTCATCAAATGGGGAGAATCTTGATACCAAGTGCAGTATGAGACAGCCCATGAGAGGGGATTACAGGCCAAAGTCTTCTGAATCGAGACATCCAAATCTGAAACCAAATATTAGAGCAGACTAAATAGAGATTTCTAAAAACAAAAACAAGTTATTTCATGATTTGAAACAGAATATGGCCTAATTTAAAGGTTTTGGGGATTGTTTTAAAGAAAAATTTAAAGCATAAATACAACTAAATGAATATAAACAGTTATAAAATAGAACAATTATGAGGTTATAAAAGGCTTATGAAACTCTTGTAAGAGTTTTGCCATGTTGGCCAGGCTGGTCTTGAACTCCTGACCTCAGGTGATCGCCCAACTCAGTCTCCCAAAGTGCCAGGATTACTGGCATGAGCCACTGTGCCCGGCCTTATAACCTCATAATCTGTAATCCCAATCAAAAGAGATTGGGATAGATTTGTTTATAAGATCTTATTAAAGTTATCTACAATATTAAACATACACTAATATAAAACTCAGATTTTGGTCAAAAAGTAAGCTATTCTTATGATATTAATTTGTTTTCAATGAGAATATAAGAGGTAACAATTTTGTATTCTGAAATATATTTCTTTTTAAAATGTCTCAGACTTATGCCTTTTGACTTTTACTGTGTCTCTTTGCATGTAATTTACATGTCCCACATGGATGCCTTCTGTTTCTTTTTTCCTGGGAAAGATATATATCTTTACTCTTGGCTGGGATAAGAACTCTTCCCCCCCTTTTTTTTTTTTTTAGACGGAGTCTCCCTTTCTCGCCCAGGCTGAATGAAGTGCAATGGCACAATCTTGGCTCACGACTCACTGCAACCTCCACCTCCAGGGTTCAGGTGATTCTCCTGCCTCAGCCTCCTGAGTAGCTGGGATTATAGGCACCAACCACCACGCCCAGCTAGTTTTGTTTTTGTTTTGTAGAGATGGAGTTTCACTCCATCTGTTGGCCAGGCTGGTTTTGTACTCCTGACCCCAAGTGAACACCCGCCTCAGCCTCCCAAAGTGCTGGGATTACGGACATGAACCTCCACACCCAACCTCTCCTTCAAGTTTTCATCAGCTCCTTCAACTTCCCCCCAGGTTCTAATTCTGTCACTGTAATACCAAAATGCTTGCCTTTAAGGTCTAAAAAGCCAGTATTTGTCTCAGCTGTGCATGGTTTTGTGCTCTTGGCTTTTGCTGTGTCTGGGTTGTCTCCTGTGAGCAGGCGAGGAGCTCGCTTTCTGCTCATAGCCCTCTTCCTCACCGCACCTGCTCATGGCCCGGGGCACACTTTACCTGTGTCTCATTAACCTCGAGGGCCCTGCTCCTCGGCGTGGCTTCCAGTCATTCAGTGGTCTTCATGGAGGTGCTGCCCACTCTCAGGCAGGCCTTGGTGCAGCCTGCTCAGGTAGCTGCTCAGGTCAGCCGTCAGCAAGATGGATGGGTCCCAGATTTAATTAATCAAACCACTGATACACCAGCCCCGATGACTTCCATTAGCTGCCCATGCAGGCACAGCCTATTAAGTGGCAGTTGGCTTGGAATGTCCTGAGTTCTGAGCCAGCTTGGGGGCCAGCTGTTAAGGGGCAGTTGGCTTGGAATGTCCTGAGTTCTGAGCCAGCTTGGGGGCCAAGCAGACCCCTGGTCCCTCAGGGTGGTCACTGGTCATGTGCTCACTGCAAAGCAAGGTCGGGGCTGGAGGTTTCTGTTTGAATGACTGGAGCTCTTCTCTGGACTTACCCATCTCCCGGCACCCACCTTCCTGAAGAGATCTTGGGGAGAAGGATTGAGAAAGGGAGTGAAAAGGGCTCCTGGTTCAGGATCCAGGCCGGGATTTAGAGGTCTCAGGTGTTCAGGGACCTCTGTGCCCAGAAAATAGTCTACATTCTTGTCCCAGATCCTTCACTTCTGAGTGCTGTGACTCTGGGCAGGTCACTTCAATTCCCTCATTTCACTTTCCTGAGCTGTCAACTGTGGGTGGTGGCCCCTGCCCTGCCCATTCCTCCAGGCTGATGTGGGCACCACAGAAAATAACAGAAACCCTCTCCAAGGCTCTAAAGCATCAGGCCCATGTGAAACAGGAAGAAAATCACACCCTCCACTGCCCTGGAGCCCCCCAAGCACCTTCGCTATATTATCACCACCAAGAGCATAATTTTTTTTTTTGGAAACAAAGTCTTGATCTTGTCACCCAGGCTGGAGTGCAATGGTGAGAGGAGGTTCGGTGAGGCTCGGCTCTGCAGATGGTGAACAACAGGATCAAACACTTAAACCGACCCATGCAGGATTCTGAGGGCCAGGGACCATGTTACCTGCAGTGCCACTTCGCTCACCAACATCTCATTTGGGGAGACCCAGCTGTGCCCTCCCAGCCCCCTGAAGCCAACAGGGAGCATCACCAGTTCATCATGAACAGACACTCAGCCTCCATGGAACCCTGGGGCCTGGGGTGGCCTCCTGTGTGTAGAGAGTACTGGCTTGGGCATCGATGGTTCTGTGTCTGTGTCAGATGCCAACAAAACAAGCTCCTCAAGACAAGTCAGGGCTGTGGTCACTTGGGAGTTGAGGGGCAGGATTCAGGGAGCCGCTGTTTTAAATGCATTTTCCAATTTGAAATGAACATATACAAGTATGTGTTTGTGTGTGTGTGTATGCATATACTGTTTTTTACTCTTTAAAACATAAGTGTTTTCTGTAACTATTTTATGCTGGAATGTATTAAGTGGGAAACTCCGTCTCAAAAAAAAAAAAAGAAGGAAAGGAAGGAAGGAAGAGAAAGAAAGAAGGAAGGAAGAGAAAGAAGGAAAGAAAAAGGAAGGGAGGGAGGGAGGGAAGGAAGGAATGGAGGGAGGGAGGGAAGGGAAAGGGAAGGAAGGCAGAAAGGCGAGAGAGAGAAAGCGAGCAGCCTCTTGTGTCACCGCCACAATCCGTCCTCTCTCATGTCTTTCTGATTTTGTCTCAATTGGACAAAGCACCAGCAAATCCACCCTGACCCTCTATTCTTACATCAGCATCTTTTGAGTTCTTGTCTGAAATCTGCTCCTCTTTCTGGAAGGGGTCACGGGAACAGCATCCCGAGGTGGTCCCTGGTGAGGTGGATGGCAGAGCTTTTCCTGCGGAGCAGTTGGCGAGGCCGGTGTCAGCATCCTGGCTCACCACACCCTCCTCGAGTGTCTTAAGCATTTTTCTTCGTTTCTTCCTGGCACAGAGTATTTCCCTCTCAGAGGTGGATGAGATTCTAATTTTCACTTTTTTTTTTTTTTTGGTGGGGGGGGGGGCAGAGTCTCACTCTGTTGCCCAGGCTAGAGTGCAACGGCACGATCTTGGCTCACTGCAACCTCTGCCTCCTGGGTTCAAGTGATTCCCCTGCGTCAGCCTCCCCAGTAGCTGGGATTACAGGTGTGCGCCATCATGCTTGGCTAATTTTTGTATTTTAAGTAGAGATGGGGTGTCACCAAGTTGCCCAGGCTGGTCTCGAACTCCTGACCTCAGGTGATCCACACACCTCCGCCTCAGGCATGTAATCCCACCCGGACAATGCTCATTATTCTTTGGAAGAAAAGCTTACACTGCGTTCTTTTTTAAAATTTCAGAAGACATTGGAATGATTATTGTTCATATGTTCCTCATGTCTTTGCTTTGATTGTTCTCTTTCAGGTACCTCAATCATGTACACATCAAATCTCAGATTATCTGCACATTTGGCCACTCTCCCTGGAAGGTACAAGCTGTCATTATGCTGTCTATAGCTTACATTTCATTGTTGAAGAAATTTTTCGATTGTCTTGTGTTTTTGGATTTTATTCACTCATTTCCATGTTTCTTCAATTCTGATGAATGGTGTCTTTTCATGCTTTGTATTATTTTCTTAATGCCTTCAGCCTCATTGTTGAAAAGTCCACAGTCCAGCCAGGCACGGTGGCCCACACCTGTAATCCTAGCACTTTAGGAGGCTGAGGCGGGCAGATCACCTGAGGTCGGGAGTCCGAGACCAGCCTGACCAACACGGAGAAACCCCGTCTCTACTAAAAATAGAAGATTAGCCGGGTGTGGTGGCGCATACCTGTAATCCCAGCTACTCAGGAGGCGTCCCAGCTACTCAGGAGGCAGGAGAATCACGGAAACTTGGAAGGTGGAGGTTGCAGTGAGCCGAGATTGTGCCACTGCATTCCAGCCTGGGCAACAAAAGTGAAACTCCATCTCAAAAAAAAGCAAAAAGAAAAGCCCACAGTCCAGTGAGTTACACCGACAGGGGTGCTCTCCTGTCTCCTCGTGGGTCCACCCTGTGCTTGTTCCTCTAGTCCATTATGGTGTCTTCGTATGGGAATTGGCATCGGTGTTTTCCCATTGATGACTTTTCACATGAATTTTATTTTCATGAGCATTATGATTTAGAAAACCTTTTCGAACTTCAGAGTTTCTCTGTGGCATTTCTATGCAATGCTCACAATTGTGACACCTATTTCCTGGTATTTCCTGGCGCTGTGCTTCTCCCCTTCTCTAACAAGAGCCTCCTTCCTCTCTTCGTCCTGCTTCTCTCTTTGGATCCCGCAGCTGAATATTGCTCCTCAGTGGACGGTCTGTCTCGCAAAGGGACAGCTACCACCTTATTGCGGAAATGCAAGATGGTTCACTTTAAGAGCATACTCATTTTCAAGATCATTTAGATAATTTTGTTCTTTTCCATTGTTTCCTCTCTGACTTATTTCCTTTACTTATATTTATCA